TGATTCATAAAGGTTCCCTTAGTTATATAAAGCTAGCTATTAAATCTTAAAGCGGCGTTCCACCCAAAAGGGGACTTTCCTTTTTAAAGATTGGTCCCCCCTCCCCATTAAGGATTGGCACCTTTGGGGAGCTGGGGGGGAGCGGGTACCCGAATTTGACAAGTACCTGCTCCCACTTCCGCTGCGATCACCTAGGCGATCAGAAATGGAAGTTGTCCTCCTACCCTCCCTCCCCGAAGTCTTGTGGGACACGTGACTGGTCCCAGAAGATGACGGGGCCATTCAGGAAGCGCAGCGCAACTTGCGCATGCGCAATGGGCACCCGGATGTGAAGCCGCAAGCTGTCACAGCCGGGTGCCCACACTGAAGACCTCTCAGGGGACCTGAAGAAAAAATGAAAGATGAGGGGAGGGGAAAAAAACAAAGTATGAGAGGGGGGAGAGAGAAATTGGTGAGGGTTTGGACCTGTTTTAAGGTGTGAACCTACCCTTAAGCTGGCCATACAAGGATCCAAAATTGGACAGTTCAACAGGGACTGGTCAAATTCCAATGCATGTATGAGCAAGCTAGTTAATTAATCCAAATTAATCCATGTACATTGTGATCACATTGATGACCAATCACAGCAATCACAAATGTAAACTCTCAAGTGATTGAATTTGAGTCCTCCCCTTCTTTTCACAACTGAGGAAGGGGAGGAAGTAAGGGGGGGGGCACAGCACCAAACACATTAGATATGTGTAATGGTGTGTCCCCAATTATCTACAGGCATCTGCTTCTGGTAAAAATCCCTGAAGTGCCTTCTTTATAGCTCCTGGATACTGCCCTGGGAGACTGTCCTCCAGTGCTGTGATAGTTAACTGCAGCTGCTGCTGAAAAAAAATGTTGCACCTCTTGCCAGTCTCCTCCTGTCCTCTCCGCCATTCATATTGCTTGTATTACTACTCTCACACAATGCATTGCATTCTGAGAATAGATGGTGGAGAAACTGTTATTCAACTGCTATACCTCCATTCACAGAGTTTGATGCATTATGTGAAAGCAGTGAAAGAAATTTGGATGAGAAGGAAGAAGGGGGCAGACAGGCAGTGCAACTTTTCACAGCAGCAGCAGCTGCTAACTCTCACATCACCAGAAGATAGCTGTAGAAGGTATTTGGCTGCTCTGAGGAGAAGATTTTTAGTGGTAATGGGATACATATAATTACAGGTAACTGAGTTTGGTGTTGTATCTCTCTACCCCCCCCCCCACCCCCAAAAAAAAAGAAAATTAGGGAGTAAAATATTCTCCTATATTGTAAGCTCGAAAGAGCAGGGCCCTTGAACCCCTTGTGTATTGTTTTGTTACTGTATTGTCTCATGTTCTGTCCCCCACTATAATGTACAGCGCTGAGAAAACCTTCTGGCGCTCTATAAATACTGTATAATAATTCTTTTTTACTGATCTGAAAAGCATTGTTGTCTATATTACATTGCACATAGCTCAGTAAAGATCAGTAATACAGTGTTGAGTATAGAGCAATAAAGCAAAAATAGAAAATGTTTTATTTAAGTGCAATTTTTCTACCTTCGTGTTTACTTGTTTAGGCCCCTTGCACATGAGCATCATAATTTACTGATGTTTACTCAGGAACTTGTGCCGCCTGTGTGCATGGAGCAACAATGCTGGTAATGAAGAAGAATTTTACTCGTCTATACTCACCTATACGCTTGCACACCTTTACCCGCCTATACTCAACATTATTCAGGTATTTATCAGTAAATTCTGATGTCCTAATGCAAGGGGCATTATACTAAACTTCAGTTTTACCCTTTTGCCCTCCCCATTCTCCTTTGCATGTCTCATCTCCATCCTGTCTCTCTATGTGACCTTTACAATAAAGTGACCCTTATCAATATCCTTTTTCTCCAAAAATAATTCACACACACATCCACTACTTAATGGTCCTGTAATCTACCTTTCATGAAATAATTTCTGTGTTTTTTGGCCTCCTTGTATTGTCCTCTGTGAGCTCCTGAACCTCTCCTTTTACTTCTCACTTCCCTTTGGAATGAGCAGTGCATGCTCGTGGTCATGTACAGTGCTCTATATACACTGCACATTCCATAGTTTCTAGTCTATCCTGAGAATGAGCAAGAAAAGATATGTTCCTACATATAGTGGGGTCAAGGAGGACGAATGTAGCCACCCTCTAACAGGAAGTCAGATCACAGCAGCAAAAAAGGAATTTGGAAATTTGGAGGATAATCAGAGCTCAAGAAGGTACTTTTTTGAGGTAAAGTGATTGTAAACCCTAACCTTGCTAAACAACCCATTCAATTTAAAATGTATTTATTCCAGGTACTTATATAGCGCTGTCAATTTACACAGTGCTTTACATACAGTATATTGTACATGCATATCAGTCCCTAACCCTCAAGGGGCGTACAAACTAAGGTAGGAATGAAAGGCAAGACTTGTGTATAGATATAAAAACACTTTTTAATTGGAGTATAGCATCAAGTCAATGAAACTCCTGGGATATTGACCTGGTCAGTTAAGTATCAGAGGGGGTTGTTAATCAGTTTCAGCTGCTTTGGTGTTAATCAAACTAACAACAGGTGCACTAGATGGCCAACAATAAGACAACCCCCAAAACAGGAATGTTTTTACAGGTAGAGGCCACTGACATATTTTTTCCATACTCATCTTTTTCTGACTGTTTTTCACTAGTTTTGCATTTGGCTAGGGTCAGTGTCACTACTAATAGTATGAGGCGATACCTGGATCCTACAGAGATTGCACAGGAAGTCCAACTCCTCAAGGATGGCACATCAATACGTGCCATTGCCAGAAGGCTTGCTGTGTCTCCCAGCACAGTCTCAAGAGCATGACGGAGATTCCAGGAGACAGGCAGTTACTTTAGGAGAGCTGGACAGGGCCATAAAAGGTCCTTAGCCCATCAGCAGGAACGATATCTGTTCCTTTGTGCAAGGAGGAACAGGATGAGCACTGCCAGAGCCCTACAAAATGACCTTCAGCAGGCCACTGATGTGAATGTATCTGACCAATCAGAAACAGACTTTATGAGGGTGGCCTGAGGGCCCAACGCCTTCTAGTGGGCCCTGTGCTTACTGCCTGGCACCACACAGCTCGATTGGCATTTGCCATTGAACACCAGAATTGGCAGGTCCGCCATTGGCACCCTGTGCTTTTCACAGATGACAGCAGGTTCACCCTGAGTACATGTGACAAACATGAAAGGGTCTAGAGAAGACGTGGAGAATGCTATGCTGCCTGTAACGTTGTTCAGCATGACTGTTTTGGTGGTGGGTCAGTGATGGTCTGGGGAGGCATATCCATGGGGGAAGCGCACAAACCTCTGCAGGCTAGACAATGGCACCCTGACTGCCATTAGGTATTGGAAAGAAATCCTTGGACCCATTGTCAGACCCTGCGCTGGTGCAGTGGGTCCTGGGTTCCTCCCAGTGCACAACAATGCCTGGCCTCATGTGGTGAGAGTATGCAGGCAGTTCCTGGAGGATGAAAGAATTGATACCATTGAATGGCCCACATGCTCGCATGACCTAAATCCAATAGAACACCTCTGAGATATCATGTTTTGGTCCATCCGACACCGCCAGGTTGCACCTCAGACTGTCCAGGAGCTCAGTGATGCCCTGGTCAAGATCAAGATCTGGGAGAAAATACCCCAGGACAACATACGTTGTCTTATTAGGAGCATGTCCCGACATTGTCAGGCATGCATACAAGCATGTGGGGGCCATACAAACTACAGAATACCATTTTGAGTTGCTGCAATGAAATTTCAGCAACCTGAACTAGCCTGCTGCATCATTTTTTCACTTTGATTTTTTGGGGTATCTTTGAACTCAGTCCTCTGTAGGTTGATCATTTTAATTTCCATCAAACAACGGTGCATCCTTACATTCCTTACACATTACCCAGTCCATATTACTATAGATATCCAGTATGATATTTTTCCCCATTGAGATCTGATGTGTTTTAAAGTGTTCCTTTAATTTTTTTGAGCAGTGTAGTAGTTTTTATTGTAAGGTGTATTCATTCTTGCATCAACTAATTTGAGTAAAACTGAAGATTTTGTAATCAAAGTTATATTATTAACCTTACTTTCATGTAATGAGCTAAACAAATGTTCTAAAAAGTTTTGTCAAAGTTTGGGAAATTTTGTGTTCATTATTAATTAAAATCTTACTTTTCAAAAGGGGTGTACTCATTTATGCCGAGCACTGTATATGTAAAGTGCTGTGGAAATTGAAAGCGCTATATAAGTACCTGAACTCATTTTTGGGGTGGGGGGGGGCTTGCTCTTCCACCCTTTTCCTGACCTGCCTTTACAAGCACATGACATTTAATAGCATCCCAGTCTTAGTCCGTACGGTTCAATATTGACTGGTCCACCCTTTGCAACTATAACAGCTTCAACTCTTCTGGGAAGGCTGTCCACAAGGTTTAGGGGTGTGTCTATGGGAATGTTTGACCATTCTTCCAGAAGAGCATTTTTGAGGTCAGGCACGGATGTCGGATGAGCAGCCCTGGCTCGCAGTCTCTGCTCTAATTCATCCCAAAGGTGTTCTATTGGGTTAAGGTCAGGACTCTGTGCAGGCCAGTCAAGTTCCTCCACCCCAAACTTGCTCCTCCATGTCTTTACGGACCTTGCTTTGCGCATTGATGCACAGTCATGTTGGAACAGGCAGGGGCCATCCCCAAACTGTTCCCACAAAGTTGGGAGCATGCAATTGTCCAAAATGTCTTGGTAAGCTGATGCCATAATAGTTCTCTTCACTGGAACTAAGGGGCCAAGCCCAACGCCTGAAAAACAACCCCACACCATATAATCCCCCCTCCACCAAACTTCTCACTTGGCACAATGCAGTTAGGCAAAGTACTGTTCTCCTGGCAACCGCCAAACCCAGAAACGTTTATCGGATTTCCAGAGAGGCGTGATTCGTCACTCCAGAGAACATGTCTCCACTGCTCTATGGTCCAGTGACGGCGTGCTTAACACCACTGCGTTCAACGTTTTGCATTGCACTTGGTGATATAAGGCTTGGATGCCCCTACTCGGCCATGGAAACCCATTCCATGAAGCTCTCTACACAACGTTGTTGTGCTAATCTGAAGGCCACACGTAGTTTGGAGGTCTTTAGCTATTGACACTGCAAACAGTTGGCGCACTGTGCGCTTCAGCATGCGCTGACCCCACTCTGTAATTTTATGTGGCCTCCCACTTTGTGGCCGATTGCTGTTGTTCCCAGTTGCTTCCATTTTGTTATAATATCACTAACAGTTGGTTGTGGGATATTTAGTGGCAATGAAATTTCACAGATGGACTTATTGCACAGGTGGCAACCTATCACAGTACCACACTTGAATTCACTGAGCTCCTGACAGTGACCCATTCTTTCACAAATGTTTGTAGAAGCAGTCTGCATGCCTAGGTGCTTGATTTTATACACCTGTGGCCAAGGAGGTGATTGGAACACCTGAATCCAATGATTTGGAGGGCTGGCCCAATACTTTTGGCAATATAGTGTATAATGTTTGGGGGTTCTAAGTAGTTTTCTAACAAAAAAAAAAAAAAAGATGTATAGGAGAGGAATGCCAGAACTTGCTCTGGCTGGAAGTGGTTAAAATGTTGTAAACCTCAGACATGAACAAATCATCAATCTTTCTATAGTGTGTACTTTTCTCAACCACTTGTGCACTTTTTATATTTTTTGCTCTATAAAAAAAATCTTGAGAAAAAACAATGTTTTCGACTTTTTACTATGAAACATACGCGATAAAAAAATTTAAGAAATCAAATTTCGCCATAAATTTAGGTCAAAATGTATTCTGCTAAATGTCTTTGCTAAAAAAAAATCCCAATACATGTAAACTAATTGGTGTAGGTGAAAGTTATTCCATTTACAAATGGCGGTATAGATACTGGAATTCTTTTAAAAATTATTTTTACTAGTTATGATGGCGATCAGCAACTTATAGTGGGGCTGCAGCGGGCATTCTGACACTGGGGGGAAATGACTTGGTGTCATTGACATCCCCAGTGACAAAAAAAAAAAAAAAAAAAGCACTGACACTGTACTAAGGGCACTGGGCAGGAAGGGATTAACACAAGGGGCGATCAAAGGGTTAACTGTGTGCTGTTTCACTTGTGTCTGTGCTTTACACTGTAATCACACTTACAGGGATGAGAACTGTACTGTTTACATACAGTTCTCCTCCCCATCAGAGATGGTTGGCAATGTGTGCGCCCCCCACCCGGAAATGCAAAATCACACACATACAGTTGTGGCCAAAATTATTCAACCCCCAATGCTGTAAAGGGGTTTAGGGACTATAGTGTACATTTGGAATTGTATTCAGAATCAAATCCTACAAGGACGTTGTAACTACCCAAATGCAACTAAAATGACATCAATTGTTTATGTAATACAGTAGTAAATGGTTCTTATGTGGTTTCTTCATTGCCACAATTATTCAACCCCTTAAAGACTACCACTCTGAAGAACAGAGGTTCATACAGGTGCTTTCCATCAGGTATTGAAAACACCTGTGGATGTCACCGAGCAGCAATCAAGCATAATAAGCACCAATTAGGCAGCTTTAAAATGACTGTGATACTCAGCTCCTTCTAGACATTTACTGGTGTGGTTACAAACATGGTGAAGGCAAGAGAATGGTCCAGGAAGACAAGAGAAGAGGTGATTTCTCTTCACAGGAAGGGCAATGGCTATAAGAAGATTGCAAAGATGTTAAACATACCAAGAGACACCTTAGGAAGCATCATTCGCAAATTCAAGGCAAAGGGCACTGTTGAAACGCTACCTGGTCGTGGCAGAAAGAAGATGCTGACTTCGACTGCTGTGCGCTACCTGAAGCGTAGAGTGGAGAGAAGTCCCCGTGTGACTGCTGAGGAACTGAGAAAAGATTTGTCAGATGTGGGTACAGAAGTTTCAGCCCAGACAATAAGACGCACACTGCGTAATGAAGGCCTCCGTGCCAGAACTCCCAGGCGTACCCCCTTGCTGTCTCCAAAGAATAAGAAGAGTCGACTGCAGTATGCCAAAAGCCATGTGGACAAACCACAAAAGTTGTGGGATAGTGTTCTGTGGACTGATGAAACAAAATTAGAACTGTTTGGGCCCATGGATCAACGCTATGTTTGGAGGAGGAAGAACAAGGCCTATGATGAAAAGAACACCTTGCCTACTGTGAAGCATGGTGGAGGGTCAATCATGCTTTGGGGCTGTTTTGCTTCTGCAGGTACAGGGAAGCTTCAGCGTGTGCAAGGTACCATGAATTCTCTTCAGTACCAGGAGATATTGGATGGAAACGTGATGCAGTCCGTCACACACCTGAGGCTTGGGAGACGTTGGACCTTTCAACAGGACAATGATCCCAAGCATACCTCCAAGTCCACTAGAGCATGGTTGCAGAGGAAAGGCTGGAACATTTTGGAGTGGCCATCGCAGTCACCAGACTTAAATCCGATTGAGAACCTCTGGTGGGACTTAAAGAAAGCAGTTGCAGTGCGCAAGCCTAAGAATGTGACTGAACTGGAGGCCTTTGCCCATGAAGAATGGGCGAAGATACCCGTAGATCGCTGCAAGACACTTGTGTCAAGCTATGCTTCACGTTTAAAAGCTGTTATAACTGTAAAAGGATGCTGTACTAAGTACTAAGATTGAATGTCACTTGGGGGTTGAATAAAACTGATAATGCTGTGAGCACAGAAAAGACATTTGTGGTTATTTCATTATAACTGTTATGTTATATTTGTCTGACCTACAAGTGCCTCTTTAATGTAAATGTAAGCAAGATGACTGAATGATCAAAAGCAATGTCAAACTGGCCAAAACACTCAATTTCAGTGGGGGTTGAATAATTTTGGCCACAACTGTATATATATGTGATTTTGCGCACCCGTGCCGCCCTGTACCAGTATATCTGCTAAAGGGAGTTGAAAAGCAGTTAACAGATGATCATCCGTTTACATGCAGTCCATGGAAATACATGGGTGTCCTTTTTTCATTTATTAACGGACATACGGAACGCCTATATGAAAGGACCCAAACGCTATAAACACGCAGAGGGGCATTTAGAGGCAGAAAAAAAATGCCAGCTGCTGCGAATGGCAGCGCTAAAAAATGTCCAGTGTGCATGAGGCCCAAATACCAGCCAAAGATGCTGTGACTCAAAAATATGAGGCAAAATGCATTGGTTACAGTGTTGCAATTTGTCAAGTCATCACAGGTCTGAAAGCTGGCCTGGACACGAAGGGGTGTTACAGGCATAGTATGAGGAGAAAGCCAGAAGTACGAATCTGGGGAGCAGTAGCCATATTCCTTAAAAGTGACTGCAGCAGGTTAATGACTTGAGCGGCCTTCTCTTCTCCTCACCTGACCCCTGAAAGGCGCGCTCCCTACAACCCCCCTCAAATTCTCCCTGCGTAATCAGTGCGCGCGCACAACTCCGGGGAGGGAGGAGCTACTAGGTGGTAGGCGGGGAACGACGTACCACGGGACAGGGAGAAAAAGTGCAACTAGTGAACGGGATACCGAGCGTCGTGTCACGTGACTAACGGAAGCGACACGGCGAAGTGAGGAAAGACTACAAAACGTTCTAAATAGTGACAAAGCGATGAACTGTAAGGCGAAGTGAAGGAGAAGAGTCGGTGTCAATAAAAGAAGTGTGATAATAAGTCGGGGGTGTATCGTGTGGACTGGGGGAGGACGCTTCTCAGATTAGGATCGCGTGCTAACAGCCGCCAGTCTCTTCCTTGCCCCACGCAGCTCCGCGAGGTCTCGGTGACGTCACAGCTCTCGCGAGATCGTGGCGGAGAAGCAGTGCAGTGTCTGAGGAGAGGAGGAGGCCGGGAAGACATGATGATGATGGAGCCGCCGTTACCGCCAGCCCAGGAGCCACAGCAGCCGGCCGGAAACCAGGAGGACGAGGAAGGGAAGGGCCCGAGTCAGGCCAACAGCGCCAACCACGCGGCAGCCAGCGAGGCGCCCGCCGAGCTCAGCAAGTCGGCCAGAGGCCTGGTCAGGATGTGCGACCTGCTGCTGAAGAAGAAGCAACAGCGCCAGCGGAGACAGCAGGGAGCAGCCGGGGCCCTACCGGCCTCACCCACCGGGGCTGGACCCCCAGGCAGAAGCCGTAGGCAGAAGCGCAGCCGGAGCAGCCGCACGGCCAGCAGCAGCGACACGGACAAGAGCAGCGACAGTGGCAGCAGCAGCCAGGACGACGAGGAGGAGGAAGAGGTGTCCGAGGTGGGAAAGCCGGGGGCGCTGTGGAGGGGGGAGGAGGAGGCCCGCTCGGTCATGGGGTGGAGGAGGCGCGCCCTGTGTGAGTGAAGGTCGTGTGTGTAAGAGAGAGACGGCTCCTAGCTCACCACAGGCTCCCGGGCGCCGCAAGGCCTTGTGGGGGATCGGCCGTCCTGGGCCCGGTGCGTGCCTACTAAGAGGCCCTGATGCCTTGCCGGCCTTCTCTTCCCCTCTCCATTACTAAAACCAGTATTCCTAGAACGAGAGCAGGCGAGCTGTACACCAGGCAGGCAGAAACGCAGCAACAAAAGCAGCTGTGTTCAGTACAAACACCTCGGGGCTCTATGTAAAGGTGTTTTCACTAAAGATGTAATGTCAGTGTACCCCCTGGTGCCCGACCTGCGCCCCTTTGGTATATGATGCCTGCCCCTCTGACCTCAGCAGTCTGTCATGGGAACATTGATTGGGGCATGGGTGCTCAACCTGTGACCCTCCAGTTGTGGATCTATTATTATAGTTATAATACAGGTGTTATATAGCTCCAACAGTTTGCGCAGCGCTTTACAAAATGAAGGTAGACATTACAGTTACAATACAATTTGGTACAAGAGGAAACAGAGGGCCCTGCTCGTTAGAGCTTACAATCTAGGAGGGAGGGTTGAGTGATACAAAAGGTAATAGCTGTAGTGGGGGATGAGCTGATGGAGGAAATAAAAGGCAGTTTATTAGAAGCAGGATAGGCTTCTTTAAAGAGATTTTCAGGGATTGTCTAAAGGTGGATAGATTAGGAGGTGGTCGGACGGATTGGGGTAGGGAGTTCCATAGGATGGGAGAAGTCTTGGAGGAGAGCATGGGAGGAGGTGACACGGGAGGATCGCGGAGAACGGTTTGGTTGATGTTTTGAGACCAGGTTGGTGATGTAGCTGGGGGCAGAGTTGTGGATGGCTTTGTAAGTTAGTATTTTGAATTTGATTAGTTGGGCCAGTGGAGGGATTGGCAGAGAGGATTAGCAGACACTGAACGGTTGGTAAGGTGGATGAGCCTGGCAGCAGTATTCATAATGAACTGGAGGGGGATAGCTTATGTAAAGGTAAGCCAATGAGGAGGGGGCAGTTGCAGTAGTCAAGGCGAGAGATAACCAGGGAGTGAATTAGGAGCTTTGT